AATATATGAAGCATTGAATATGTTTGTATATCTCCTTAAACTTACTCCTATAATACCCCTTTCCTTTATGTCTAAATACATCAAAACAGCTTGTTTTTTGGTTAGATGGCCTGATGGATGGCCGCTCCTAATTTCTAAACAGCTGAGTATAACTCATACTTCGGCTTAGCGCATGGAGTTTTATTGCTCATTTGCTTGACAGCGGGTTGGTGCAGCTTTATCGAAAGCCCTGTATCCGCCAGGATATCAGAGCAAATCCCAACGACTTTAAACTAAATGACTTTTCTTATTCTTAGTTAATTCCGCTTGCACCAACGACGATTTACCGAGATTTTCAATTGGAGAGACATTGTCCATTCAAGACAAAGCCAGCAGTTAAGAATCATACTTTGACTAGTGACTTTCCACCACAAAGGCTTCCCTCTCACTTTTTTCATTTCATTATTTTCCCTTTCTGCAATAAATTATTGCATTGTTTACTTCTGTTACTAACATTCCGCTGATTTTGTTGTGCTTTTATTTCCTCGCTCTACAGAAGAATCTCTTGCCAATGCAATACGAGTGTGCAAACAACACTTTAAAACGGAACTATGCGAGTACTCATTTACTCACATACAAAGGTATGCGCTCTTGCAGTCTCTTTGCACAAATGCCATTGAGTTTATTTGCTCGGTGGAGTCCCTTCGCTTGCCTCGTGTCCTGGTGTCATTCAAATGATAGCAACTATTTATAATGTTGTTTATATTTACAAACTTACAAACTCAAGTGGAGGGGCGCGCATAAGTACGGACATTTTACGAACTTTATTTGTATTTTATATTGTTTGCCTGAGAAAGATTTTCACTCGCTGTGAGTTTTGCTTACGCTGATGGTCGCCAGCGCTTTATGAGAAATTACTTTGAGCTACCATTTTTTATGCTCTATTTTCTACACAGGGCATATTAATTTTGTTCACCTAATGGTTCTCTGGGCGTAAAATAATCTAGATAAATATATCCTTCGACAAACGCGACGGTAGCCAAGTCGTGACGTGTGTTTTGAATTATATCCATGCGTCAGTATTCCACGCTGACAAGAAGTAGAGAACCACAAATCTTCCGCAGAACCTAACTTCTGAGTACTCCAAATATCGGCTCATCAGTTGTTCTCAATGTTCAAGTCTCCGGACGACTAGGGACTTCAAAATTTTGGTTTTTCGTTCGTCGAGAGAGCACTTAAGTTCTTATTACGAATGTATAAACCTCTTTACCAACATAAGTGTTCTTATCTTGTTTTTTTTTACACTTTGCATTTTGCGGCATTAATCCATATTTTACGTTGCCCGAGGCTATTCCTCGTAACCGATTTTATCCTGTTTGAAGACGAGATCGGCAGAGATGTCATTGCTTATGTCCAGGCTTATCTGCAGAACAATCACTGTTGAGTTCAGAATTTTTCTCGGGGTTGGGTTAAATGGTACAGCTAACTCTACTCTTCTTCTTGAAACCTGAAATTTTTCTCCAGCATCTCTTCCAGATACTTCTTCACCTCTATAGAGTGTTTTCGCCATCATCGACCCGGTTACGCTTTTTGAGACGAAGGGACACACTGCCCGAGCTCTTCGGCATCTTCTCGATGTTGAGTGTACAGGATGCCCTTGCCTTACTTGTTTACTTGGAAGATGATTGCGAATCCTCTTGTTGGTGTAGCGACATTCAATAATTACCAATCCTTCGTCAGTACTCGGTTCATTTCGGAGCCGTATTTCATCCTCCGGTTATATCATGCGTGGTTTGAATGTTTCGTAGTTCAACCACAGATCACTGTCTCTATGACAACAAACTCCCCATTCAATCAGCCCGCACTATCGAAAGTTGTCAAGGTCATGCTGCATTATAGGTGTTTTGTGAAATTTTTCTACCGGACTCAATGCTACGTGGACGCTGCCTGCGATGTTGTGAGTTCTTTCAATCGAAGTAGCCCGTTGGTCCTGCTGTTTCGGTTACAGCAGGCCTTTTGTTTTCGACAGCATTTTTACCTCAATACAATTTGCTAGTCTTGAATACGCGGACATATATAGCAACCTTCTTTAAAGGTACGCTCAACTTTGCCCCATTTTTCCACTTACCCCAGTCAACCTTTCCTTCTCGTCCTTCGTTCAGTTAGATTGCAGTTAAGTGTCTCAAGGACTTTAACCGACATCCTGTATTTTGTTTTGACTTCCACCCTCCTTACTGGAGTTTGCTACGAGCCTTTTCTTTGTTGCTAAGCAAAACCCGGCAACCCCTAGTGAATGTAGTGAGGCCTCCTCTTTAAGAGTTTTCACGTCAACAGCGCTTTGAGGGTCCTAGTCTTTAGGAAATGTGGCACACCTTCGTCATAACGAAGGTTTGGTAATGGTAGTACAATCGCTGTGAGCTCCTACTTTTACTATGTCAGGAACAGCTGGATAGATTCAATGTACGCCGCTTGTTAGCCAATACCCGCTTGGGTGTCAGGTAACAGCAGCTGTGTCTATAGCTCAGCCGGCTTTTGCAAGGAGTTTTTAATAATAAAAATGGTATGCTTATTTTTCGAAGTTGATTAGAACGATGCAACATTCTTCTCACAGTAAAAGGGTTCCAGAAGAGTTCCTTTGTTTGTTGTGGTAAGAAAAAAACATTTTCCCCGGAAATGACACGCATCGCGTCTCAACGCCATGAATACTAGTAACACGTGTGTGCATTAGTTCTAAGAAGCTTTTTCGCATACGAGTATAAATGTCTGTATGTAGTTTGTTGAGTGTGGCTTTGCCGTGAAAAAGACTGCGTTGATGGGCTACCTCTTCAGTTTTTCAGTCACATTTACAATGTTGAAACTTACGGTATGCTTGTTCACTTAAATGAACATATGCATTCATATACATACATACACATACATACACACAGATATGTGTTTGTGGAGTAATATGAGTTCGTAGTATTTCAGTGTTCGAAGTCCTGCTTCTGCACGCCTGCCAATTTTATTACGCTCAGCACGTGCTTTGCAGCCTTTTACCCAACTTGACTGCGGCCTGCTTCTAGCCGTAGTGCATAGCATGCACCTGTCGCATTTATAGCATTTCATTGCCGGCAACATGCCAAGTTATTTTTGTGGCTGCACATGTGCGACTGTGCACTTGTATGTGTGTGGAGGGAGATTGTGTTCTCGGTGCTGATATAAAGTAAAAAGCCCGAATGAATGTCCATATGTTTCTCTGTTCGCTATTCTTGCTCACCTCTTTGCTTTCGTATTCCGCAACGCGGTTTTGCTTCTAATATGTTGCACCTGCACAAAAGTTTACCTCAACGCCGTGGCGGTCTTTCGCTCTACCGCGTTATTCCCCACTCTTGTGCTTGGTGATGATGCGGGAATTTAATTATTAAATTGCAAAATATGCTGCTTTCACGTTTGGCGAAGCACATCGGCGTTTAATAAAGTGAAAGCTTTGACAGTGAGTGAATATTTCGATTTTTCGCGATGCGACAATATTGTATGATATTTAGGTTTTCTTTTTTTTGGTTTTTGAGAGCCAAATGTGAGAAATGGCGTAGCAGCTGATTTAGTTCGAACTTTAGGTATTTATCAAACTGGGAACTTCTGAAAATGGGTGAATGCCCGAAATTAAGAGTGCATATCATCAAGAGATTCATCGTATTTTATTTTATTTTATTTTATTTTATTTTATTTTATTTTATTTTATTTTATTTTATTTTATTTTATTTTATTTTATTTTATTTTATTTTATTTTATTTTATTTTATTTTATTTTATTTTATTTTATTTTATTTTATTTTATTTTATTTTATTTTATTTTATTTTATTTTATTTTATTTTATTTTATTTTATTTTATTTTATTTTATTTTATTTTATTTTATTTTATTTTATTTTATTTTATTTTATTTTATTTTATTTTATTTTATTTTATTTTATTTTATTTTATTTTATTTTATTTTATTTTATTTTATTTTATTTTATTTTATTTTATTTTATTTTATTTTATTTTATTTTATTTTATTTTATTTTATTTTATTTTATTTTATTTTATTTTATTTTATTTTATTTTATTTTATTTTATTTTATTTTATTTTATTTTATTTTATTTTATTTTATTTTATTTTATTTTATTTTATTTTATTTTATTTTATTTTATTTTATTTTATTTTATTTTATTTTATTTTATTTTATTTTATTTTATTTTATTTTATTTTATTTTATTTTATTTTATTTTATTTTATTTTATTTTATTTTATTTTATTTTATTTTATTTTATTTTATTTTATTTTATTTTATTTTATTTTATTTTATTTTATTTTATTTTATTTTATTTTATTTTATTTTATTTTATTTTATTTTATTTTATTTTATTTTATTTTATTTTATTTTATTTTATTTTATTTTATTTTATTTTATTTTATTTTATTTTATTTTATTTTATTTTATTTTATTTTATTTTATTTTATTTTATTTTATTTTATTTTATTTTATTTTATTTTATTTTATTTTATTTTATTTTATTTTATTTTATTTTATTTTATTTTATTTTATTTTATTTTATTTTATTTTATTTTATTTTATTTTATTTTATTTTATTTTATTTTATTTTATTTTATTTTATTTTATTTTATTTTATTTTATTTTATTTTATTTTATTTTATTTTATTNGGATTTTATTTTATTTTATTTTATTTTATTTTATTTTATTTATTTATTTTTTTGACTTTTATTTTTTTACTTTATTTTATTTTAATTAATTTTTTTTTGTTATATTTTTTTTTTGTTTTATTTTTTTTTATTTATTTTATTTTTTTTCTATTTTTATTTCGCCATATAATAAAGTTATAAATTTAAATTTGTTTTATTATATTGTTTTTGTTTTACGAAAATACTTTTCAATAAACTAAAATAAAAATAAATACAAGTTACACCTAATAATTAAAGAAAAAATCTTTTTTTTCATTTCAGTAAACCCATTTCACGCACATCTCAAAGTTGAAATCTAACCTCACATTTACTAGTGACAAACAATCAAAAGGAAATTAGACCAAGCAATGGAATTAGTGTCAGGAGGCTTAACATGATGACAACCACTATTGAAACCACATTTGTCACACGCTCGGAGGCTTCCACAATATTTCCGCCGGCAGGTACATTAATAGGAAAGACCACGGAGAAAGCAAATCTTGCCAACCCACCATCAACCCCGTCAACAACTAGAAGAACATCAAGCAAGACAAGAGATAGACCGCAGAGTTTGTGTTTAAAAACTACATCGACGTCATCACTAAAGCCTACGCCAACTAACACAACAGCAACAATAACAGCAGTAGCAGCAACAAAACGTTGCAATTTCAATCCAACTCCCAACCTTCACACAGCGCACAACACTGGACGCCGCATGCGGCAGCTACTCAATGCACATTTGGTCATTACAGCAACAACATTGCAACAATGTGCAGCCGTACGATGGCAATTGTTAGTTGCCTTTCTCATTTGCAACTGTATCGGTGAGTAGGTTCCTTGGCTAGATATTCTATTTGTATGTACTATTGTACTATTTTCATAAAGTGTATGAATGCATGTATGAGTATGTGTGTGTGTCTATTTGAAAAAAGATGTGCAGGAAATGAAAAGAAAAAACTGGTTAATTAATTTATGCTTTCAAATACATACATACATAAAATGTGATGCAGGCAAAGACATAAACATTAAAACGCAGAATATATACACAAAGTGGAGGCAAATAGTTAATATCTATTAACTGTGTAGTTCAGAGAAGGGGCTTTTATATTAAAAAAAATTAAGATACCCTAGAAAAGTTTTTGATATTTTTCGAATAACCGTCTATAATTTAATTCATGGATTTTTTGATGTTCTAATAATTTTTCGATAACTCGAAAACTTGGTCTCGAAGCCCTAAATAACGCCTTACGAGGTATTAGAAATAATAATATTAGAAGGGAGCATGTATCTACTGTATTGTTAGCAGGCGACTTTCGTTAGACCTGATGAGTACAGGACAGACGTAAGTCTCTTGTGTGGCCTTCAATGACAAATCTGCTTGCAGACTAAGGTAAAAGGCTTTCTTAGCGTCAAGAAGACAGTCATAAATGAAATACTTTTGAAATCATGCGATAGGGTTCAATATCTAGTTTATTTTATAGAAATAAAGATCTCTCTTCGGTTTGTACGAGAAAATTATTTTTTGAAAAGCGAAACTGTACCGTGTTATCCTCAAAAAATGATCTTGTATGTATATAATTGGCGATTTATAACCGCTGAAGCAATTTTCATCCGAGCTCCTCCTCCGCTTTGTCGTTTTGCGTCTTGATGTTTTTCCAAGAGATGGAGTAATCTACAATTTATACCGAACCGCCTACGAATGGTTCTTAATGAAGAGCTTTTTGTCATGTCAGAAATACACTCGCAGGAATGGGCATTCCCTACCGAGGGACGATCGCAATTAGAAAATTTAAATTAGTTTTTTATTTTTTAAATAAGATTTCTATTACTTTTGAATGTTGTTCGTACCAGGATTTGAACCCGAGCAATCCGAATGGCAGCACGCAATGCTAACTACTCAGTTACCGTGGCCACCATATTATACGATAATATTTCTAATTATGAGAGGAAGAACGGAAGAAACAATAATTACTTTCACTAGACGCAGTTTGATTTCTCAAAAGTGGTATTTATTACTCAGCTGTGAGCCTCAAGAAGGCCACAGAAGCAAACAAAGCAAGATAGAGTATCTTCTTCAGTCGAGTTTGCCTCTGCGTGTGAAGTCTTGAATCTAGTCAAAACCAAATTGTTTAGCCTAGAAGAGAGTTAAGCGCTGCGGCAGTAGCTCTTCGATTGCTCAACCATCACCAAATGAGCGCGAGTACCTTAAGCTCCGCTCATGAAGCATGAGAGCGAATATAACAAAAAAAAATTACATACAAATGCTACTCGTAGCTACAGAACTAGTCAACTTATGACTTATTTTAGTATTTTTTTCTTAACTTAATGCTTTCTAGTAGAATTTAATTTTTTTTTTTAAATTTAATTTTTTAATATAAAAAATTTACGAAATCTGCTTAAACCATTCAGCAGATCAGGGTTTCCTGCGGAATGTATGAATGTGATTGTGTGTTTGTGTTGCACAACAGATGTTTGACAACATTAATGTATTTCTTGTGTTGCTTCATTTGATTTGCAACAACAATTTCAATTATATACTCAATTAAGTCTTATATTTATTGAAAAATCTACTTTATGCACAAATAATTATGTAATATATTTAACAAAAAAGAAAAAAATCACTAATCTGAATTTTTATAATTATGTGTTTTGTTCAAACCTTCTTTTTTCTTATTTTTGTCTTTTTTTACGCGATTTGTTCAAATGCTGCTTCATTGATTTGCCCCATTACCATTCACAAATCGAATGAAATAAAAAAAAATGTATTGAAAATTGTGTGTGTTTTAAAAAACAAAAAATATAAAAATACGAAAAAATCCGAAAAATTTACCACCATTCCTTATCATCATCCTTCAACCATTCACCACCTCTCAATCAAATGCAAATGTTCAAAAATCAAAACAAAAAAAAAAAACAAACAAAAAATAAATAAAAAAAAAACGCAACCAAAAAATTCAAACATCACCTTAAAACCATTGAAATGAAGATATTTCCATTTCCAACCAAATCTCGACAGTGGGCGCATTCGAGCCGGACTTTGTCTTTCCGCTGGAGAACGTCACCGTAGCACAGGGACGCGATGCGACCTTCACGTGTGTGGTTAATAATCTCGGCGGTCACAGGGTGAGTGGCGACTCCGCAACAGCCAGGGTATGTATCGGTTTTGAAGTGGCGTTATAAAGAGCAAGAAAATTTTAGTTTTCACTTTTTTTACAATTTTTTTTTAAACTTTCATTTTCCAGCACCATTTTTGTTATTAAATAATTTTGTTTAAATTTACTTGAAATGCACTAAAAAAAATAATAATAATAATTAGAATTTTCAATGCACCAACGCACCTAAATATTACAAAGGCAGTAAGATCAAAACAATAACAATTTAACAAATCACTTTCGATTTATGTAGT